ATAAAAAAATCATTGGTTTTATGAACAACTGATGAGTAAGTAAATTGTTTAAGTAATTTGAATGTTAAAGACCTCATAAAATATATGTGATATTTAGTTTTTTTTGTTTGTTTGTGGGAAACGTAATACAAAACATAAACAAAAATGACAAAACAATTCAAATAATTTGCTATTAATAATACCTTAATATATGAGTTAATGAACGTCTATTTGACTTAATAACGGAATGACTATTACATAATATGGTTATATGTTATGTATTTATCACACACTACATTAAACCACAAAAATTAGTTTATATATAGTGTGTGTGTGTGTGAGAGAGAGAGAGAGAGAGAGAGAGAGAGAGAGAGAGAGAGAGAGATGTTTTAGTTGTTTGCTATTAATAGTCCTAAAATCGTGAATATTTTTCATTGTTTTTATTTAATTCAAAACACTTGTATAATATTACCATAAATACAGTATAGATCTCACAGATTAGCAATGTTTTGCTTATTGTAATAATTTGGACATAAATTATATGATATATATTTATATTATATTATATTTTATGTTTTTACTATTCATTATAATATGTTACTATTGTTATGTACTTTTTATTTGTTGAATACTTTAAATGTAAATTATTATTAAATATAATACATAATAATATTTAAGAGAGATATTTAAAAAGAAAATCAGTTTAAAGATTTATGATTACAACTATAATATTAATAATTAAATTTACTTTTAAAAAAATCTATAAATTACTGAAAATCAATTATATATAATTCAAACAAACAAAAACTTTATAAAAAATTGATTTATTATTTATTTAATAAAACTTTAAACAACATAACTGAATATCCAATTTTACAAACAAAAAACATAAATGATACAAATTTGAATAATTTATTTTTAAAAAAATATAATGACTAATATAAATAATGACAATTTTACAAAATTTATATTAACAACAAAATATGATCGATGGCCTAATCTAGTATATAAATATATTAATATATAACAACAAAAAACATAATTGTTTAATATTTTGAATGAATAATCAAAATACTGTATGTTTTACTACAATAATACTGTAATATAATAACATTTGAAAAATATAGTACAAATTATTATTCAATTCAATTAAGATATTATATTTCATAAATGGTATTTATATCGTAACTTCATAACTATTCAATATTATAATTGAAAAAATATATTTTAATATTTTTTAGTTAAATATTTTCAAAAATATTTATACTCTTTATATATAAAGTGTATATAAATACGATGATGTCTTAACATTTTTGGTTTGTTTTGTTTAACTCCCCATTAATGATTGCCAGCAATTATTATTGATGATTAGCTTAAAATAACCACAAAATATATCACAACACAAAACATGTATAATAATAATTTTCACTCAAATAATACTAATAATAAGTGAGGAAACAATTTTTCGCTACTTTTCAATTAAAATGCTATCAAAAATGTAAATCTTAAACTCAATTTTTATAAAATCTAAATGATATGCGGTCAACATTAATAATAAATAATAATTGTGGTTATTTTTTTTGAAAAAACAATTTTTGTTTTGTAAATGCATTTCAAAGCGTGTTATAAAAATTAATTTTCTAAAATTATAAAATATTTTTTAGTTAATTTATTAAAAAAATAATAGTTATTTTTACAAAATCCAAGTATAACTCGTTGAAAAAAATAAAAAAAAATGAAACTAACATTCAATGAATAAAAAAATATTTTAATTGCTATTCAAGAAAACAATATTAATGATATTGTTTTAAAAATAAATTTATAATGATATATATATATATATATTAATATTATAAATAATTTTTAGTAGAGCTAACAAAACATTTGTTATTTTAATCCATTTTGAATACAATAATGATCTGTCAATTATAACAAATGTTTTTAAAAAATGTAATTATAGAAAACAACATAATTTTATTGTTTAAATTTATTATAAGTTAATGATACTAAAAAAACATTGCTATACATAACGGATTATTTTACAATTAAAAAAATAATAAGATTATTGGACTTATAAATTGATGATCTAAATGCTAATATTAAAAATAGTTTTAATAAACAATACTACTAATTTAGGTATGTAGTTAATTGGTAAATGAGTATTATTTTAGTTTATTAAATTAAAAATATTACAGTATTATGAAATTTTACTTAATTTTAAAAAAAATTATTTGCTATTAGTTTGTAATATAAATATGTTAAGTGATAAAACAAATACAGAAGCCGTGATTTATAATAATTATTGATTTAAATTAAAAAACAAATTATATATATTTATTTATGATCTTAAATGACTATCCCTCAAAACAAACTATTTATTTGCGTAAATTTTTTTACACAATATTTTGTATTTATACAGTATTTGTAAACGAAATTTTTATCAAAAAAAAAACTATTAAGAAAGTTTTCAATTTAAATTATTTCGTAATATTTTTTATTTAACTTAAATAAACATGAAATCAAATGTTTATTAAGCTTTAATTTACCTTTTTAAATAAAATAAACATAATACAGTTTATTAAAATAAATGAAACCAATATAAAAAACAAATATATTTGGTTTTGTAATATGTTGTGCAAACAGTTAATATCATAAATAATTGTTAAATGTTTTGATGTCTATTGCTTTCAACAATATAATGCATACTTTAAATTATTTTGCTTACATATTATTTATTTAAAAAAACTTCATTATTATTTGTTAAAGGTGTACATCATATATTGTATGTTAAATATCAATATATCGTATATAACATATTGTATCGATGTATTTACAACAAACAAGTAATAAATTTTCATTAATAGAAATGTTTCTCAAATGATTTAAAATATATTTAAATTAACTTTCAATGTTATTTGAAAATTGTAATAAATTTTTTAGTATTACAGAATAAGTTACAATAAATATGATTTTTATTGAAAACTATAAAATTTTATAAAATTATAAATGTATAAATAATATTATGTAAATCAATAATATAAAATATATATGTAAATTATTATTACTATAATTTTATTAATTATATTAATAAACATAAAATCTAGTTAAATAGTCACATAAATAATATTATACATACAATATATCTCATATTAATTTAATTTATGTGCAAATAAACTAATATTTTCTGAACATATTTTTATGATTAAATAAACTAATGTTATAAATATTATGAAACATTTTTATTTACATATATAATATAACTGTAATTACACAGAATATACATAGATTGTAATATTAGTAAATCATGAAAAAGTATAGATAACTTAACAAACTTACAAAAAATAACTTAACATTATATTTATTAAATTATTTATTTATTTAATTTGATTATTATATAAACTAAGATATTGTTATTATTTATAATAATAATATTTAGTCTAATTTTAAAGCAATATAGTAGCATTAAATGAGCTGTAGTATTATACTGTTGTTACTTAAATATAATCATACAATTGAAAACCAAAAATAAATAAATTAAGTCATAAAAAAACTATATAAATAAATAATTTTTAAACACTAAAAATAAAATTACTTAAGATCTCATCTCAAAATCCTCTCACAGTTTATTTTGCTATTTAATATATAACTATCATTCAATGAATTATATTTTTTATTTATATATTATTTTTTTCTCTTGACAATGCATTTGAAGATCACGCCTATTATATAATAAAAATATTTAATAATAATAATAATATTTTTTTTTAATAAAATAATGTAATAAAAATCTGAAAAACAGACAAAGGATTTAAAGATAAACAGTTAGAGAGAGAAGAGAGAGAGAGAGAGAGAGAGAGAGAGAGAGAGAGAGAGAGAGAGTTGCAAAACAAGTAGTTTTTTATATATAACTTATAAGTATTATTTTATTGACTTATTTTTATGAATCTAAGTATTAAAAGATTAGTTAGAAATAATTTTTATTGTTTACTATTATTTTTACTTATAAATTGTAGAAATATATTCATTTGATTTGTATTTATTGACATTTATATCTCAGGTATTGAAAGCATTTATTTTGCTTTTTAACTCAAATAATAACTACATTTTTCAACAAATTGACAAACAATTACATCATTGCTTACCATTTATTATTATTATTATTATTATTATTATTATTATTGAATATATACAATAGTTAACGTCAATAGATTTTTTTTTCTCTAAAATACTCCATAACTATTGTATTTTTTAAAAAATGGATAATAATAGCAATTTATCGCTTGAATTTGAGGCAATAAATTTTTAAACAATAAATTTACTGATAAAAGATAACTAAACAAATGCCAATCATTAAAGAAATTGATAACAAAATTGTATTATATTTTTAAACATTTTTTTCTTCATTGATTTTAGTTATGTTTGCATTTTCAATTATTGTATCATTTTTTTTTTAATCTAACTATAAAATATTATGACAAAAATATTTTAAAAATTTAATTTAATAATAATAATAATAATACATTACATTTAAAACAATATAAAATTAACATTTCAAAATAGGCCACAAGCTGATTATATTAATAGATTTATTAATATAACTTTAACTTATAAATCATAAATTTTATAATAAATTTTAAAAAAAATATTTGATTGAAAATTATATGCTATAAATATTATTTAAAAAATTAGGATTTTATATAAAACTTTAAATGGCATTCAAATTTTTGTTGTATTAATTTTTTTTATTTGTTTCTTTTGTTTTAAAATATTTTATTTTATATATAGGATTATTGTTGGCATACAAATTGGTATACCTGTGCTCTCACACAACACAACACTAAAAATAAGTAATAGCAAGGATTTGCATATATTAGTCTAACTGGCATTAAATTGCATAACAAAACAACAATAACAACGAGTTGTGTAACTATTAATAACGGGATATATATATATATATAAATAAATATAAATAAAATATATTTGTATTCAAACAACACAATCAACTCAACACTTTTAATAACTACAAAGATATGGCCAATCAATGTCTTGTCATAACACTTATCATAGGCTTAACAGGTAAACAAACTCACGGCTAATCAATTAAAATCTCATTTTATTATTATTGAACAATAAATATATTACGAAAACTATAATATATATTTATAAATAAATTTTCTAATATAATACTATACTATATGTCTGTTATATATTAAAAAATAAAATAAACTACAGTATTAAAAATGAAATTATTTGAAACATAAATTTATATAACATATATTGAATTTTTATTTAACAACAAATTATTAATAATATTAATTTCTATTTAATGATAGCTCTAGCTGTTACATACACCAAATCTGTAAACCGGGTAAGTTTATTAATATATTATTTTAATAATAATAATAATTATTATTATAATATTATTCTAACAATAATATTATACATTATTAAATTGTAATTATATGCTATTAAATATATATGTTATCCGATAAATTATAAACTTAAATAAAAATCATAATTTTTTTTCTATTACATTGTATTATTATTATTATTATTATTGACATCTGAACATAATTTAAACGCCATTAATAAGTTTTTTAACACTTTAACACAAAACAATATTAATATCTTTAAAAAAACAACATTTCCTTAAACGCCTACCTATTTTTATATGACTACTCAAATGCTGTTTAATAGAGTTATCACCAAAAATTCAGACAAAAAAAGGTGTTATGTTTTGTGTTGTCAATACATACAAGTAATTTAGAGACTCCTGTAATGCCATTCATCATTATAGCTATCAACACAACAATAAAGTGTAGATTATAATAATTACATAATTATTAACAATAAATAGTATGTATATATATTGTGCAAACATAGATACATTTACAATTAACAATAACATTATTTAATAATTACTTTTTAAATTATTTCTTTATTTTTATTCAAAAGTACGCTCATATATATATACAGTATATATATAATATTAAATAATAATTTAGTTTTTTACAATATGTGATTTTTTAAAACTAATTTATAAATAACATAATTTTATTAATTTATTTTTAATTTATAAAAGCTACTGAAAAATCCCATCAATTACAATTTTTAAATTAAAAAAAACATAATATTAAACAAAACACAAAACAATTTACTAAAACATAATTTAGTAGTTTATCAAAATGTCAAAAAAAACTTTTAGAAATAACAATTGAAAGTTATTTTACTTTTTTTTTTAATAAAATAAATGAATTTTTAGGTTAAAAGATGGGCTGATTTGCCGGACACGGAGTTTCATTTTGATTGTAAGAATCGGGCGATTGGTTTCTATGCGGATATGGAATTCAATTGTCAAGTATTTCACATTTGCGATGCCTTCGGGCGTCGGGTGTCAATGATATGTCCCAATGAAACGGCCTTCAATCAGGAGTATCGGGTTTGTGACTGGGAATACAATGTCAACTGTCCCGACTCAGAGACCTTCTTCTATCTCAATGATCTAACCTATGAAAAGCCGCCAAAAGAGGAGGAAGAGGCGCCCAATGATTTGAGAAAATAATATTATCAAAAATTTAAAAAAACTAGTTTACGATTTGTGTAAAAGTAAAAAATAATAATAAATATTTTATCAAAAAAAAAATATTTTAAAATTTATAATATGTAATAATTATGTTTTATTTTTTATGTACTTTACTTATCTGTATGTATGTATGTATAACACAATTTTTAAAATATTTAATATATAATTATATATATTTATATAATTATTGTTGCCATACAATATCATTTGTTGACCTTATAATATTGATTTTGTGTATATTTTGTAATGTTTAAATATTATCAATGCCATCTTTAATTAGATTTTATTGATTGTTAATAAAGTCTATTTTAATTAGTTTTCAATAAAATTGTTTACCTATAATTGTTTTTTATTTGTTTAAAAACTATTTTTAACTAAATTATTAATATATATTTTTAAATATGATAGATTCAATAATAATAATATTGCAAACTTATTAATAAAAATTGATAAACAATTTTACTTTATTTTCGGTTAGTATAGAAAAGTATGTCATATTTGGATAAAACAAAACAAAATAGAGACAAAATAAAAATATGATAATATTAAAATTTTTTAATTTTTGTTCTAACCTAAAACTACTTCTATAATATAAAATATATTTATTATTATTCATTATTATTATACAATTTTTTAAAATAATTTTTTTTACAATATTTTAAAAATAAATAATATCTAAGTAAAAGTGGTTAATAATAATAAATGATTTGATGTAAAATTAATACATAATAAAGAAAACTCCCAATTATTCATTGGAAATAAATCTAAACAATAAAATCCAATGTCTGGTCCACACAAACATTCAGTCATTGACTGGAGTTTCCATTTCTGGCGATACGATAGTCTATGGGATCGGCAGTTATAGGACTGTAGTAGACGACGGCATTTATGAGCTTCGGTATTAATCCAGGTGCACATTAGATTTTCATAGAAATATGTTGTAAAAAACAATGCAAACATAACTATCCCTAACAATCGTCCAATTAGTTTTGTGTGTAAATCAAAAATAAAAAATAAAAGTATTTCAAAACCAATTGTCGACACATAATAAAAAATAAATAATATATATTTAAATAATTGATTAATTTGCCAAACTGATTTTGTTAGTTGTACATGGTAATTTATTTGAGCATTAACTAATTGATAATTATCTAGATAAATACCAAGTGCAATTTGTTGATTAATTTCATGATATTTATATTTAAAATATATGGCCACAATAAACCATACAATAAATGCACAACAACATATTGCCACCAATGTTATACTGTTAACCAGTGATAATAGTGTGCCAACTAATATACTGATTAGACTAAATCCGGCACCGGGATCCAAATAAAACGTTAGACCAACTAATATATACCATAATAAAAATATAGTTACTATTGACCAATAACTGTGTTTCAATACATAAGTAGCTAAAAATTTAGATCTAATATATAGTTTACGATAGTTTCTTCTATTTAATGGCAATAACAGTGATTGGATTTTCATATCATTAAGTAATTTAAATACATTCAATGTCTGATTGATGTATTGGTAATGCATTAAAACAAAACCCAATAAATTATGTAAACCAAAAAAAGCAAACATATAGGAGCCGAGTGTCGGGTATACTATAAGATACAAAAAGTCATACATCAGATCATAAATCCATTGTTGGCTAATAATAGCCGTTACAAAATAACGCAAAAAATTCAATAATAACAACGTATCGACTATTATGATACACAATAATCGTTTAATTGATATTTTACTAATAAAATAGTTGTCTAAACTAGAAATTATTACATAGTTGTCAACACTAAATCTTTCAATTTTATTTATAATTGAATCCATTTTTATGATCTAATAATGTTTTTTAATTATATACTTTTTCTATACTATTCATAAAAATATGATAAAAGATATAAAAAATTAAGTTATTATATCAATATTAAAATATTATTCAAAATATTTAAACAGTATAAATAGACTATAAATTTATTATTACTAATACATGTATAAATATAATAATAGATATGTTAGTTTACTATAAATTTTAATTAATATTAAGCAAATATTGCATAAATATATAAAGTTTATATTGTAAACAAATTCTAAAAAAAATAAATGTCAAAATTATATTTTAATTATAATAAACAAAAAATAAATATTAATAGTTTAACTATAAGTTTCATTTTTTATTAAAAAATATAAAATAATTTTAGACAACATAAAAATCGAGGCCAAAATATGTCCAACCACAAATACTAAATTTATTAAAAACAAAAAATTATATTTAAATATAATATTATTATTTCTAAATATTATTTTAAATAATAATAATAATAATAATACCAATGTTTGAGGACAACAGCCATTATTACGGGCCGACCACTCCATAGTATATATTGTAAACAATAGTGACAAAGAAAATATTATTCCCATTATATGAATAATATTTGCCAAATTAGTGGGCAATTTAATAAATTTGCCAAATATTATTAAAAAACCTATAATATTAGAAATATTATAATAAAGTTTAACATACTGTGTAATAATATTCAATCAAAAAAACATACTGCCACAAAATCCGTAAATAACAATAAATATTGGTATATAAAACTTAAGGACCACTGCTATCAGCAATTCATGTATAATTGTCGACAATATCATTACAATAACTATTGTCAAGTGTTTACTACTAGTAATCCTAATGACCGGTTGATAGAGATATGCAAACAGCCAGTCCTGGACCACAACATTCCATTGGCGTAGGAATTCCTTAGTGGTTGTACTCGTCCACCACTTGCCATAGAAATATCGGTCACCAAACCCGAGTAATTCGGCCCACATATTGAGCCAACAGTGCCAGAACAGGTAGAATATTGATGCACCCAAACCCATGTAATAAAATGTACGCATAGCTATCGATTTAAATATATTATTAAACCGATATGATTGGCAACCAATGTCAATGATGTCGATAACAAAATAGTGTCGAAATGTTACCAATGCATAGATTATTAATACAATTTGTGTAAAATGATATAACACAAATTTCCAGCTAATTTTATTGATACTATGGAAACAAATATATGTAATGCATAGTTATTATACACAGTATTTAGCATATTGTAAATGAAAATTATTCAATTAATATTTAATAGATATTACCTGGGATATTTGTTTCTATAGATCATTGTGGGTGCAAATAAAAAATATAATAATTGATATAATGTTGGCAATGAATGATTGTTTGAATTGTGATTAACAATATAAAAGTAATGGATTTCAAATATATATGACACCAATTTCATACATATGCGATACTATTAATAAAAATATTAAATATAATATTTTTAATTAATTAAAACATACCATTTCAAAAACAATTATGATAGATGAAATAACATTCAAATTGTTAACTATAATAAAACAATTGATCAGTATTAATATAACTAAAATGTATGTTACAAAAATTAGCCAAAATAATATATTTAAGTTTTGAATATGTTCATTATATATTTGTGACAAATAAATTTTTAGTCTAATTAATGGATAAAATATAATAAATATTGATATATGTAATAATATCCAGCAAATTAAGCCAATGTATACATCATTGAAGCACCATGATAAAAATGCAATATCACTTTTTAATCTAAATAATAAATTTAATATCATAATATGTTAACTATTTTATTTTAAATTATATAAATTTTAAAATAATTATTGTATACTAACATATCCGGATTAAACACATAATTAATTGCTTGAAATATAAATATAGTTAAAAGTATTGCTATGAATACGTTGAGTCCTGTTTTTGCTATTATCTCAGTTTCGCATAAATCACTAGAAATATACAGTAAATATATAATTAATTCATTTGTTATAATTAAAATTAGTTATACAAATTATTAACAAAAAATATACATTATTTTACTTACGTAAATATTGAATTTTGTATTTTAAAAACTTTTTTTGAGTAATACTCGTTAGTATTATTATTATTATTATTATTATTATTTTCATCATTAGCACTTGTGTCTAAATCAATAATCTCCATTTTCTACTTTTTTTAATTTAAATAATAATAAGTTGAAAATTTAATAATATATTTTTATAACATAGAAAATATTTTTATGTCAGTTTATTATACTAAATATAATATTATTATTATAATAGTTATTGTATTAATATCACAAATTTGTTAACTTATACTAAATTATTTATTAAAATTAGGTAACAATTTTTCAAATATGCAAAAATATAAATTATAAAGTAATCTTACAACAGTTGGCAAATTAAGATATTATGAAATTTAATTCATAAAAATAATAAACACAAAAAATATGTTATAAATACAATATTTTAAATAAATTTTTATAATAATATCACTTTAGTTAGCAATTTGAAATAATTATTCAACAATTCATCAATACTAGTTTATATAACTTATATCATAAAAATATCATAATTTTATTGCTAATTGCATTTTATATTTTTTCCATTAAGATAATAAAATACAGTATAACATACAGTATGTATTGAAAATAAATATGTCTAATAAATACAAAGTAGTTTCATTATTTGTCTAAATAACCTTAAGCAAAAATATCAAATTAAGTAAAATTTACAGTATTTTTAATATTATCAAAAAAATAAAATATATTTTAGATGTAGGATTGATAAATAAAATGAAGAATTTATAGTAATAATTAATATAAAAAATAACATAAATATTTTTATGTATACAATAGACAAAAATAATTTTGATTTATAAAATAGTTTATTATTTAGATAATTTTAAATTTAGTAAATATTAAATTAAATAAATATTTAGAGAAGGATTTTTTTATTTGAATATAAAAATAAGTTATACATTTAAATCTGATTAGCATTTAGTAGTATCAAATAAATTTAATTTTAAATATTAATTTAATGTTAATAAATATTAACTAAATGTGTGAAAACAATAAAAAAACATTGATTAAATTATATATAGTATTAATATTGTATATTGAAAAACTTGAAACTATTTATTAGATAAATATTTAGTCATAACAATAGACATCAACCTTTAAAAAAAATGTTTATGAATAATTAAAATTTTTAAAACATTTTAGTAAATCTTAAAACTTTTCAATAAAAAACAATAAAAAAATCCGTTTTCAAATCAATAAAAAAAATTTATAACTGAATACATGACAAAATTCGAGGCCAAAAAAAATCCGTCAACGAGTCCTGAAAACAAAATATAATATAAATTTAATAAAAAAAATATTTATTTATTTACTTAATACTAAAGATGGGCAAATAGAAAGTTTCTAATAAATTTCCGAATAAATTTCTATAGAAATTTAAGTGTATTATTATACTATGGTGATCTCATATCTATAGATATTGTAATACTATATTAATGAGACATAATACTATACATATATTATACTAAATAGTATATAATTATACAAAATGAGATACCTATATATAAAATAACTATAATTATTTAATAATAATCAGTTTTGTAAAAATTTTGGTTATCATCCTAATATACAGTATATAAATAAATTTATATTATATTTAATATAATTAAATAAATAACATTTTTACTTTAATTAATAATTAAAATACTAATACTTATATTTAATTATTACTTGTAAAGACAATGTAAAAGCAAGTTAACAAATATCGAGAAAACAAAATTAACATGGGGATCCCATAGATAGAAATTTTTTTTAGAAACTTTCTAGAAATTTCCCTATTATATTATAAATTTTTATTTTTGCCAACACTACTTAATACACAATATTTTATTACATAAAATAAACTAAACAACAAAAAATATTTACCAATTTTTTTGGACAAAATCCATTATTACGGGCATACCATTCAAGTGTATAAATTGTAAAAAACACAACCGGACCCATCAATAGTGCTATTATGTAACCTATATTTTCGAAACCATGTGGAAGTAAATGTACTGTTTTGCCAAATATCACAAATATACCTATTATTACAAATTAATTGCAAATAATTATTATATAAGTATTTAAATAATATTTTTCTGCAAAAATAAATAGAGTTATATATTTGAATAATATCTATATTAACGACACTTACTGGTAATAATACCGAATACAATGATAAATACTGGTAAATAAAAGCGAAGCATAAATGAGGCTATCATTTCATGAACTAAAGTCGACATAAATATGACCACAAATATTGTAAAACTATTATTATGTGTGACCCGTAATATCGGTTTATAGAGATAGAAGTATATCCAGTCCTGGACTATAATATTCCACTCCCGGAGCCACTGTTTGGTATCGACACTTGTCCACCACTTGCCATAGTAATATCGGTCACCGAACATGACCAGTTCGGCCCACAAGTTAAGCCAACAGTGCCAGAACAGGTAGAACAGTGTTCCTCCCATTACAAATTGATAAAATGTGCGCAGGGTTATCGATTTTAACATGTTTCTCAAATGATACGATTGGGAACCAATAGTTTCCATATCGATTGCATAAAATTTTCGAAATGATACCAATGCGCTTATTGTCAATAACATTTGTACTAGGTGAAATACTATGAATGACCATTTAATTTTGGATCTCCTTTAAAAAAAACATATCAAATATGTAAATCGCATTAAAATTGGTTTGTGATTATAATAATGTATAGAAAATTATTTAATATTACATTGGATATGAATTGCGATATATCAATGTGGGAGCAAATAGGAAATATAATAATTTTGAAACACTTGGATAATCATTATTTTCATTGTTAACAATAAAGGCATAGTGTGTCTCAAAAATATATGACCAAAGTTTTAAACATATGCGATACTAAAACATTAAAAATAATTAATAATTTTTTATATCCATTTATAATTTTAATGTATATTTACCAATTCTATGAGTAAAATAAATGAAACAATTGGTCGCAAGTTTGTGAACATAATATAAGTATTTACTGATAATATAACAACTATTATATAAGAGACATATATAATAGCAAATACACTGCCAATTGAACAAAAATGTTTAATATATTTATGTGACAAATAAATTTTCAATTGATTCAATGGGAAAAATATTATAAATATAGATAAATGTAATAATATCCAACAAATAAATCCAATATGAAAATCGCCAAAGCACCATGATAAAAATTTTATATCATTTGTTAAGCTAAATTAATTAAGTAAAAGTTGTTATTATTATTACTAATTACTTAATTAATAAAATCAAATTAATAATATAATAATTAATAATAATTACTATACTATTTTATTACTAATTACTTACATTTCGGGGTTAAATACATAATTGATGGCTTGAAATGCAAATGTTATCAAAAGTGTAGCAATAAGTGTGTTAATTCCGGTTTTAACAATAATATCATTGTCATACAAATCACTAAATATATATTAAATTGATAAATTGGATAAAAATTATAGACTATTTTTAAATATAATATATAATTATTTATACATACGTTAAAATTGAATTTCGTGTTTTAAACACTTTTTTTGAATAATATTTATACTTATTTGTTGTTTGTTCCGACACTTCAATTATTTCATAATTATTTTTGTTATCAAAGTTATTTTGATTGTCATTTTTAACATTATTATTGTCACAATTATTAGTATTAATAGTTTCCATAATTATAATATTGAAAATAATAGCTTTTAAAAAATATAATATTGCTTAAAACTAATACTTTAAAATGTTCATAAATAAAAAATCTTTATATATTTCACAAAAAAATATTTATAAATTATTAATTATTTCCACTATTATATGTTAATTGTTTTATTTAATTTCAATTATTTATTGTATATTAATATATTAGTATAAACATGTTTTATAACATTATTTTATTGATTCTGATAATTTTAATAAATACTGTATATTAGGAATACAACAAATTTTATAAATTAAAAAATATTTCACTTAGCAATTATCAAAAAATACCAAGAAAATTTTATTTTAGTCAACACATAATATATTAATAATTCATTTTTGTTTAAAAAAATACCCTTAAAATTGAATATAAAAAATTAATAAAATTGTATTGTATTAAAATTTCGTCAAATGTGATGTCAATAGATATAAATTTTGACATTATATTTTATTACAAATAATTTCAATGTCAATTAATGTAGAAAACTTTTAAATATAAACATTATTAATACAATGTATTATATTATAACTATAATATAACTTGTGTAGAAAAAATAAACTAAAATTAACGTTAACTTTGAAATTCAGTTAAGATTTTTGTTTGTTTCAAAACAAGTTTTATAATTTTATTTTGAGTGAGTAAAGTATGATATCATTACTATAGAAGAGGTTCATAAAAGAGGTTAAACCTTTAGTCCGGTGCTATAAATGTCATAATAATTTCTGAAAAATAAAAATCCAGAACCACTACATTCTTCAAACATAAATACTTGATAAATGGGTACAGGTTTTCATTTATATATATTGTATATCAAGTTTATAATGTAATGCAATACCATAATCGGTCAGTTAACTTGAATTTTACTTTTACTGTACTGTATCATATAATAGCAAATATAGTATTAGTCACATTAAAAATACTTAAAAATATATATAATGCTGTATAAACTATAGCAAAAAATAAAAGGTATAATAACCCACAAATATATATATATTAAAGTTTGTTTGTCTCTCTTATAAAGTGTGCACAAAATTTAAAATTCAATATTATCTAGTTTTATCATTAATTAATAATTACTTTTTATTTTTATTTAATATTACTATTTAAAATTACTATTGAATTTTATACTAAATTTTTATTTTTATTTTGTGCACATATTATACTTGTTAATTAGATATAATAATTTTTATAACATATAGTTTAATTAAAATAATTTTATTTAAAACATTATTATTTTAAATATAATAGATAAGAAATAATTTTATAGCTAATATTATATAATGTATATATTATATCAATAGTTAACTAAATAGTCTATAATTAGTTGAACATATATATGATTGTTATTTGAATTGTTTGACAAAAATTTCAATCAAATATATATTGTTAACATCATTGAAGACATCAAAGACACCGAAATGTCTAACAAATTGGATTTTTCGTTGGAAGAGATCATTGCCAGAGAAGGCATCACATCTACAAAAGGCAATCACAATGAATGTCACAAAGAGATAACAAACAATAAATTTGACCAAAATATTGCCAACAATGACAATGTATTGAAACATAAAAATAATTTTACAGACAATTTGATGGCCAAGAAAGTAGTGGCCAATGGTAACAGATCGGCCAAAAACATCCAATTTAACCATTCATGCGGTCGTATCTTCATTGAAAATCTCGAGCACAGTGTCGTTGACGGAGACATTCAGCAACTTTTTGAAGCTTTCGGTTCACTCAAGAGATCGGCTCTTAATTATGATCATAACGGTCGGTCAGCCGGCACTGCGTTTGTTGTGTTTGAACACAAAGCCGACGCCATTACTGCTGTTAATAGTCTTAATAAGATTACACTCGACGGTCGTGTCTTACAAATGACATTAATTGATGGCAACAGTTCTTCATTTCGTCAAAAGTCAGGTCCGCATCAATCAAATCTTAATGCAAGACTCAAACCACAATCAAATGTGTCGACTGTTGGCACCAAAGCTGGCGATCTTTGGTCTAATATAGCTATGAATGAAACTATTGAAAGTTGTGACAAAAAAGTCATTCCCACTACTGATGATGACTTGAATGTAGATATCGACAAATATTTGGCCCAAAGAAATGCTACCAAATAGTGATAATATAGTATAATATTATCAAACATATAATTTGTTTGTTTTTAAAATCAATATTATTTTTATAATTAAATATCATTTATAAGTTGTTGTTTTTTTTGTTAACTAAATAAATTTTTATTTTTCTTAATTCAAACAATAAAATTTTTTAATCATTTTAATTATAATACTTACATTTTTGAATACATTAATACAATTACATTATATTGATATTTTTGCAATTATTGTAAATATTTTTTACATTACATTAACTACAAATCATTATATAGGTATAAAACATTTTGAGATTTACTAATAATAGATAATTATAATAGAGTAATAATATAAAAATTAAATATATATTTATAAGTAAATAGTGTGTGCTATTATGAATATAAATTTAATTAAATTTTTATGATTATACATAATATTAATTATAAAAACAATTTTTTATTATATAAAGTATTTCAGGTTTATTTTTATTACTAAATAAGTAAACAATTTATTATAACTAAATAAAATAAACTTATTTTTATATTTAGTTAATCTTTGTTGAGTGTTAACTCATCTAGAAATTTATTTTTGTTATAAATAAAATTTAATTATTTGCATTTATTTAATTTATTAATAGAGTATTTTATATATACTGTATATATATATTATATATAAATTTATATTATTATATTTTAAATATAGTTAAAAATATATATTTTAAATATTCTATCTTTAAATAATTATTTTTCAATTTTATAAATTAGTTATAAAATAAATAGAATTAAAAATAGTCAATAATTAAAATTTTAGTATTTGTAATTAAATTTTATGATTAATATTTAAACATTTTTTGCAATATTGTTATTGTATAATCTAATTTCAGTGACATTTATTTTAATTTATATATTTAAATAATATAATCATAATATACAAATTATTATTGTATAATTTTCCATAAGAAATTTCCCATATAAGGCATATTATTTCTTTATAAAGTTTACTAAAAATTACTTTACTATCAAGTGTTAATTGACGACATTATTAAACTACTGTTTATTATTCATAACCGGCTATCACTAATAAACAAAATATATACACCAAAAAAAAATTATATATTATTTTGTTAAATTACTAATAAACATTTACAATCTATTTATAAATAACACCAACTGTTGATAACAAGTTTCTTACAAATTCAAACTATAGGTTATTAATAATTATAACTAATTAAATTATTAACTAATTAATTTTTAAACTGTATAATTTACTATTACAAATGCATACTAGGACGGTTACATATTGAATATTTAATTAAATTAAAAAAATATATAGTTAATTAATAATATGATTAATAATAGTTATGTGATATTTATAGCGGTCTGATAACTGCTTTGAACTTTTCAATAGACGTAATAAACGCTTCTCCAGTACTGATGTGTTGGTTAACCAGACGACTAGGTGTATGCGCCAACCATTGGGCCAGTGAGACGTCCTCGAAATATCGTGTGGGAAATACCTCCAAAAAGATGACATCCTCGTCGCCTATGTTTTCAATCCAATGAGGCTGTGATATCGGTATATACCCGACATCTCCCTCTTGAAAGTTCATAGTGCGGGCCATTTCTGCGGCGGCAAACACACCCATTCGTGCCTTTCCTTTAACAAAGTAAGTCCATTCGTCATCATTTGGATGCCAATGAAGTTCCCGCAGTCCACCCGGTTTTAGTGTTACTATAGCTGCAGATATGTTTCCCGTACTAGTGATGGGAAAATTACGGGCGTCTACTATACGCACTTCACCGCCAAGTCGTGTAACATTAGGCGGCATTTGACTCGCAAAGAAGGCATACGTTTCGGGTACAAAACCAGTCTCTTGACTAACCTCTTGCTGCTCAGTCAGCAATGATCGGGGTAATTGGGCAGGAAAAATATACAGTTCCTCGTGAGTCAAATTGCCGAACGTCGAGGCCGGCACTTCAAAGTTTTTGGCCAACACATCCTTAGGTATGTGTCTCATCCAATCACTTAACAAAAATGTGGTGAACTCATTGAAGTTGCCATCATTGAAGACCAACAAGAAAAAACAACCTTCTTTTCCGATGCCCTGTATTGAGTGAGGAATACCGCCCGGAAATAGCCAAAGATCGCCAGCACTGACATCATCGATAAAAGCTCGGCCCTCCTGATCCACTGCTGTTATACGGCACGTTCCCGATATGGTATAGGCCCATTCGGACTGTACGTGCCAATGAAGCTCACGTACGCCACCCCTGATGAGTCGCATCTGGACTCCGGCCATCTTTATGGATATTGCAAAATCTCTTACAGTCACTTGTCGTGTCCAACCACCACCATAGACGGATCGGTGCGCAAACGAAAACGGGTATTTAAATGGTGGCTGTCCACCATTATCCGTTTTCGGTGGCCATACACTCATTGGATTTTGTGCATCCAATAAATCATTAAAATAGGGTGTCTCACTATCCGATTTATGTTGGTGTTGGTATTGTTGGCCGTATATCACATTTATTATAAAATATAATATTAACACTATTATTGCTATTTGAAACATAGTTTTTATATTTAAAATATGCGGGTATCATAAATTTATAAATATTGTTTTACTATAAATATCACAGATACTGAATGTATATTATATTTATATAAAATATAACAATATTAAGTGAATAATAATATAATATCACTGTATATTAGGAAATGACATTAGTTTTTCAAATTTAATTACAGATTAGTACATTGAAAATAGAGTAAAAAAAATAATCTCTAATAAATTACTAAAAACTTTTTGTATTATTCAATGCACTTTATAAATATTGTATACGGATTGTTAGTTGTCTTAAATACACTTTGTTTGTATTTATTGGTTAAATTAAAAATTATTATTAAAATAAGGTTACCATAAAAAACAAATAAAAACAATATCTATAATTAGCCAAAAAAAAATATTGATTAGTAATTTTGTTTTGTTTTTTCAATTTCTCTTTTTTTTAATCTCAAAAATTACTTTAATAATTATTATATTTTATTCATATGATATATAATAACTTGTTATATATTTATAATTTAGTATTAAAATTATGTACAGAAAATACATTATATTTAAATCCTTGACATCGATAATATTCTTGAATTTAGTGCAATGACTTAAAACAAATTTTGTTTTAAGTTTCACTAATGATATTTAGTTTAATTAAAAATTGGTACCTTTTATTAAATAAAATTTTAAAAAGTTTAACCAAAGTTTATATTAAAGCAAAAATATCTAAATATATAATATTTGTTTTTAAAAACATAAAAACTAAAAACTATATAATACAGTATTTATCAGAATATATAATCTCTTATTTTCTATTTTACAATAATATATGAACGTCTAATGTTTTAAAAGTAATCACTAATAATAATTATTATTAAAACTTATTAAAATATTATATATTTAGATTTTTTACAATATAAAATTGATATTCATTGTAATTAATTAGATTATCTTACTTTTAATAATTTATTTTTTAAAAATTTGTTACTATTTATATCGTTATATATATGATAAAATAAAGATTTAAAAATAATCTTTAATCTCTAAAAAATAAGTATTTTTTATTATTTAATTAACAAATATATTTTCCTGATTTATTTATTATACAATTAAATTGTAATGAAGCAATTAATAAAGTTGTTAAAAATAAACTATAAAATTTTAAAAAAATTTTTGAAACAAATTAATATAAATTTTTATTTTTTGAATACATATAAAATATTAATTGAAATAAAATAATATTTCTAAATATAAAAATATTATATCATTGTTCATTAATACTATATATCATCTATATGTCTATCATATTATCTATATATTACAAATCATATTTGTTTCATCACTTTATTTACTATAAAAATCCATTACATTTATACATTTTAGTTTAACCTCAACTCACTATATTTTTTATACATTTTTATAACTATTTAATTATTATTGTAATATTAATTAATATATTAATGCATTTATTCATTTAAATTAAACTACAATTGTATATGAGATTTTACATTGAACTTTTTGACATTAATAATACTTAAATTACTCAATTTATTTTAAGTCGATTAGTAAATAAAAAGTATAATTTAAAATAACATTATTAATGCCCCGATTATTTAGTAAATAAAAGTTGTCTGTATTCAAAGTTACAAAAAACATGTAAATATTAAATTAATTGAGTAATTTATATGAGTATTTAAATCGTTTATATATGTGATTATGAAATTTAATTAAAATGTTCAACTAATATATCAAATAAAATAATAATATAATTAAATATCATATAGTACTAGTAAAACAATTATCTGGTACTGAAAAAAAAGTAAATATCTCTCAAAATAATTAACGGATTTTAATACGATTTGTTTTAAAATAAAGGTTAACTCATCCGATTGAAACAAATCAATTAAAACATTTAACAAAATATTTATAAATTTTAATTAAAATGAAAATAGACAAAAAAAATTTTATAAAATTATGTCAATAATTTCATGACATTCCATAACATTTATCTCTAATGTCTCACCATTTCCATAGCATTTGCTGGAAATTATAACTTTTTACTTAAAATTATTTTTTATATATAAATAACTAAATTTTTGTTTTTATATTTTAATTGATTTATCAATTGGATGAGTTAACCTTTAATTTAAAACAAATCTGTTAATTATTTTGAGAGATATTTACTTTTTTTCAGTACCAGATAGTTGTTTTGCTGTATGTATTTAATTATATTATTATATTATTTAATATATTAGTTGAACATTTTAAGAATTAAAATGTTTTTATATCAAGTATGTTGTTATATCATTATAATTGTTATATATTAAATTTTAATAACATCAATAATTTAACATAACTTAACTATTTAATTAAATCATTATATTTATTTTCTATATTTATTGTGATATATTAATAATATAATCCAAAAATACAGTAATTTATTTATTTGTAAAAATAAATTACTGTTAATTATTTGTTTTATTAATATACTTTACTATAACTTTATAGAAAATATCTAATAATCTCACTTTAATTTTTAAATTGTTACCGGTTTAACTTTTTTATCACATATGATAAGTTGATATCAATATATCAGTATCAATATAATCAATTTAATGTTAATCATCATATGTTTAATATCATCTGACAAAATGTTACAATATTACATTTTTAATATAAAAATTAACTGTAGATATTTTATTAGTAATATATGTATTTTTTTAAATATGTATGTTTAAAATTACTGATAATTATTGTTATCTTCAAAACTTGCTGTTAAAACCTAATTTTTTATCTTTATATAATTTACTAAAAGTTAAATTAGTAATTAAACAGTTCAATTTATTATAATGTTTCTTTATATAATTAAAAAAAACATTTGTATTAATCCAAAAAACCTAATTTAATCTTAAGTATTTTAAATCTTACTTAAAATATAATTTAAATTATAAAAAATAGTCTATAATTAAATATTTTATACATTTATTTAGTAATTTGTTGCTTAGTTTTTTTTAAAGCAAAAATATTTATTATAACAATATTATTGAACAATTTATTATATTTATTACAATAACAACTATATATCTTTACAATAATAATATAAATAACAGTTTACGTAATTATATCTAAATCTATGGTCTAATTACAGCCTCTGTCTTATTGATGGCTAATATAAAGTCTTCACCGGTAAAGATGTGTTCATCGACGAGTCGGGACGGCGTGTGAGCCATCCATTCGGCCAAAGAAATGCTTTCAAACATCGGGACACCAAACACTTCAATGAAAACTACATCATCGGTGCCTATATTTTCAATCCAATGCGGAGACGACTGTTCAATATAGCCGACGTCTCCCTCTTCAAAATTCATAGTCCTGGCCTTACCTCCCGAAGCAAACACACCCATCCGAGCCTTACCCTTAAGGAAATAGTTCCACTCGTCGTCGTTTGGATGCCAATGCAGTTCACGAAGAGCACCCGGTTTTAGTGTGACAATAGCGGCGGCCATAGTAGTAACGGGAAAGTTGCGGGCGTCGACCACTTTAACAATACCGCCGTTTCGGGTAATATTTGGCTTCATTTTGTCAGTAAAGAAGGCAAACGGGTTGGGAACCAGTCCGGTAACAGCCGAAGCCTGTTTGCGCTCCACGTCTAGCGGTCGCGGCATTTGAGAGGCAAATATATACATCTCTTCGTGTGTCAAATTGGCAAATGTAGACTCTGGGACCTGAAAGTTCTTGGCCAGTATGTCACGGGGCACGTGTCGCAGCCAATCAGTCAACAGGAAAGTCTCGAATTCATTGAAATTTCCGTCATTGAAGACCAACAAGAAGAAGCATCCGTCGTCACCGATGCCTTGAATCGAGTGGGGAATACCGCCGGGAAATAACCAGAGATCTCCTTCTTTGACATCATCGACAAAAGCCCGTCCAAGTGTATCGATGGCCGTAATCCGGCACTGACCTGATATAGTATAGGCCCACTCAGAGCTCACGTGCCAATGAAGCTCACGTACGCCGCCGCGAATCAGTTTCATTTGAACGCCAGCGGCCTTCTTGGCTATCGCCAGATCGCGGACAGTCACCTGTCGAGTCCATCCACCGCTAAACACGGCTTTGTGTGCAAAAGAAAACGGGTATTTGAACGGTGGTTGACCACCATGGTCAGTGCCCGGACCCTTATTGGAGGCCGGGTTCTGGTCATCGAGAACTTTATTAAAATATAGGTCGTCACTACCGGACACACATAAACCAATCAATGAATTGGTTATTAGAAATAATATTTTTAAATATGTGTTAAACATTTTTTAATAGACTATTTTATGTCTATTAGAAAGTCTAATGTCTATAATAATTGTTAATTAACTGATGATTTATAATTACTGAATCTCTTTATATATAAATACAGTATATATTAATATATACAGAATATTATAGAGACATACGGTATATCTCACATTAGATATAGTATGATATAAGTCATAGATAGATGTTTCAAATTTTAAAAACATTATAGAAGTTTGATATAATAATGATAAATGCTTTTTTGATATAATTCAATAAAATTTTAATACAGTGTACCAGATAATTAATGATACAAAAAATATAATTTACATTAAGCTATACTACTTATGCAAGTTTAAATATTTAATATAACACTACAATTTACTTTAAAATTATATTGCTTACATTTATTTAATCTTAATATTAATTTAGAATTTTTTTTTAGAATAAATATATTAGTATATATCTAATAATTATTGATTTTAAATAAAATGTTTATTTATTAAAAAAATAATAATATTTATTATTTGTGACATCATTATGACACGATTGCTAAAGCACCAAGTTCAATTGGTTTGCACTTGGCGTATGTGAATAGTTAGCTAAAATACATATACAATTTTGACGTGTGTTTATATGTAGCAGTGTCTAATTAAAAACTACCGGTTCACAATGTATTCACAATATTGTAGAGTATATCTATTTTTAGCTACTCTAAAAAAACTAGTTTCCAATTAAATAAAAAGTAAAAACACTTAAAAATATCATAGAAAACAATACAAATACAATACAATATATCTATACAATATATCTATACAAATACTAAATAAATTGATAAAAATGTTTGTAATATTTTTACCATATTTAATGAAATTTTATGTTATTATTATTATTTCCAATTGTTCATAATAGATTTAATGAAATTAATAAAATAATACAATAAATAAATGTGTGATATTTTTGAATATTTTTTTGTTATTGTGCAATCATTAAATAAATATATTTATCTTGAAAACTATTATCTTAGAATTATTTTTTAGATAATATACAGTTTTCTTAAACTTAAAAATTAATATTTTTTCAATATTTAATAATTGTTTACTGGAAAATACCATATGAGAGAATATATGGATCATGGTGATTTTCTCATTAAACACATATTATTGCAGTGAACTAAATTGAATATAATATCTATATGTGCAATATATGCAGATAAATTAAATAATTTTATTAAACAATTAACTTATCTATTATCATTTGCAGTCAACTAATAGTTTCTCTATATAATTTAGTTAACTATTTAAATATAAAATTTTATATCAATTATAAACAGTAAAACGTATTTAAATCATATAAAAGTTATTATGTTAACACTTATTATCGATAGTTGTAATGTAAACTATTATATTATATTTTATATATCACAATTAATATTGTTAAATTATTATTATTATTATTTATTAGAAATAAACATAAATTAGAAAATAAAACATTAAATTTTTATTACTAATTATTATTTTTTTTAATCATAATCATTAGTATGTAATATTTAGTGCATCAATATTAAAACAAGTTATTGTGTGTGAAATGTATAATTTTTCAAAACAACTTTAAAATTTAAAGTATTTTACTGAAACTAAGCAATAATTTAATAAATAAATTGAAATTCAATAATTTTGTCATAATTAGCAAATATTGCACTTTTCCTACATTTATTGCTCACTAAATATTTATCATCTATTTTTAGATCAAACTTTTAATGTTAATCCACTTAATAAATGACAGCTTTGTGTCATACATTTTATTCATACATTAAATAAATTAAATTTTAATATAGTTTTGCCAATAATGTATTGCTTAGTAAAAAGTTTTTTTAATATACAAAATTTAAATACAAAATTAATTTTAAATAGGATAAATTACTTAAACAATATAAAATAATTTATTTAATAAATATATAAAAATAATTTTATTAGATATATCTAAAAAATATATGGGTTCTTATCATAAATAAGTTATGCATAATTAAATTCAATCAATTAAATTTATATCATATAATTTATATGTTAACTTCCCGTTAAAATAAATAAATTTATGAAATCATTATTAACTAATTTATTTTATTGTAATAATAAATAAAATCAACAACAAAAATGTTGACTAAATTATTATTAGTTGTATTAATAATAACACAATATTTATTAGTAGTCCTGTGTTTTGCCGACGATTTGGTCAGTCATTTACCTGGACTAACAAATCCCATTCCGTTTGGCTATTATTCCGGTTATTTAGATGAACTGCCCGGTCGTCATATGCACTATGAGTTTGTCGAAAGTAACGGCAATAACAACGATTCGCTGATAGTCTGGCTAAATGGTGGTCCCGGTTGTAGTTCATTGTACGGATTTTGGTCAGAAAACGGACCGTTTCGTGTGACCACCACTGGTGGCGATGATGATGATAATGGACAGACTGTACTACTGGAAGACAGTAACAGTTGGAATAGTTTAGCAAATATACTATATCTAGAGTCACCAGTAGGTGTAGGTTTTAGTTACTACTCGGATAATAATACTAATAATAATAATGATAGCTATGTTAATAGCGATAATATGACAGCTGATAGCAATTATTTGGCACTGAAATCATTTTATCGCAAATTTCCTCAGTATAGCAATCATTCACTTTATCTAACCGGTGAAAGTTATGCCGCTGTTTACATACCTATGTTGGCCATCAAAATAATCAATAATAATGATAATAATAGCAATGATATTAATTTGAAAGGACTGGCCATTGGTAACGGAGCGTTCAATAATTTACTATTTCTCAACTCGAGAGTACATTTTGCTTATAATCACGGCTTAATTGATTACGAGGAATGGCATGACTTAGAAAGTGAGTGTTGTTCGTGTAGTGATGACGACAGTGGACAGGTATGCACTTTTCATCACAACAACAATAATAGTCAGTGCAATGTTGCCTATGATATCCGATTAATGCTTTCAAGAGATGGTATTAATGCTTATAATATATTAAGTGATTGCAATATTATTCAGTCAATTGATATGAGAAACAAGAGATCAGATATCAGTGACCGATATTATTATGATTTAAAACAATATTTTGATATAGACTTTGACAATATATTTGATACAAATAATAGTAGTCGAAAGATACCGGTGTGTTTTGAACAGTCATTTCAGACTTATCTTAATAGGCTTGACGTTAGAGAAGCTTTGCATATACCATCTCATGTAAAACAGTGGGTCCAGTGCCAGGATGTCAATTATAATCGCCGGCTTAGGTATTGGGATATGTCATCAGCTATTCGGCAATTGTTGGCATCAAATAAATTACAATCTTTTATCATATATAACGGAGACATTGATATTGTCTGTGATTTTATGGCAAATCAGGAATTTGTTGAATTACTCGGTCTGAATGTGACACTTGACTACCAGAGATGGCTCATCAATAATAATACTACTGTTGCCGGATATGAGAAGCGTTACGATGGACTCACTTATATGACAGTCAGAGGTGCCGGTCATTTGGTGCCAAAGGATAAACCGCTGGCAGCTCTTGAAATAATTAGACGATTAATTAGTATATAACAAAATATATATTATTTCTATTATTATTTAACATTATGTAAAAAATTGATTTAGAATATTCAATAATGATATTATTTATTTTTTAGTTATAGATTAATAATAAAATTTTTTAATTATCATAAAAATTATATAAATAACATAATCATCATAAATAATAAGTTAAAAAACATAATACTTGTTGTTTTTCTATTATTTATGATCATAAATTTTTTATAATTAAGATCCGTTTTCATATATTAATTTTATAATATTGAAAATATATGAAATTTTTTAAATAGATAATATAATATTAATATAATAAATATTATTAAAAACATATTTATTCAATAAAATTGCCATAAAATTGACATCAATGACACACAGCATACTTGAATTAATATCAAATATATGACAATTTCAATGTTAACTCTGAGAAATCACTTTTGCTTTAATTATAATAAAAATAATTCTGTATTATTAAAAACGTTATAAAGATTTAATATTTTTTTAACAACATTACAATGTAATTATAAATAGGTATTTAGACAACTCATACAAGTTCACGTTTGCGATGATTAATCAAAAAAATAGAAATTAAATAAAACATAATTTTATTAGTGATTGTCTCAAAAAAATAACTGTATTTTTACAATATCGACAAATTATGATATTTAATATGCCACACAAAAATTATAATTATTCTGTAGAAAATATTAGGTATTAGTTATATTAATACTATTATTTGTTATGTTATTAATAATATTATTATTAACATCAAATAATAGTGTATAAACTGATAAAAACACTAATAACTGATTTTTTCAAAAGTAATAATTATATCAATTATATTTATAAATTGTGTTCAAATTTATCTAAAACAGTGTACTATAAAAAAAAATCTATTGATAATGAATATTCATACAATGTTTTGCCAATTGTTAGCCTATTTGGGCATTACATGTAACAATGAGTCACCATCCCATCCAATAGTCAATCCACAAACTGTTGGTCCATATATTAGGCCAACTAACGGTCCGATTAGGCCACTACTTAACAATGGACAAAATTGGGCAGATAATTGTGGTCTACCGATTAACGGCAGTCAACCAAAATTTTTGGAAACTAAAATAGTGGGCGGTGGGGTTGTCAATATAAACAACTATCCCTGGCAGGTATCACTACAGCGAAGGACAACCTATGGTTTCTATCATTTTTGTGGCGCTTCTCTAATTCATCCCCAGTATATATTAACAGCAGCTCATTGTCTACAATGGTATTACAGATTGAAAATTATTGTACAATTTTATTAGGCATTAGTTAGTTTTAAAAAATTTAAAAATTAATTGATATTTTTTAGGGGAGTCCGTCATTCACGACTAAGACCAGATGCCAGGGAACGGCTAAGAGTTTTAGCCGGAGTTGAGTCGGCCAGTGATGTGTCAAAGGGTTTATTTATGAGAGTAGTCGACGCTATCATACACCGTGAGTTTGTCAATAAAACGGGGAAAAATGACATCGCATTGATTAGACTGGAAAAGCCTATCTTATTGATGAAAAACAGATCCATTAATACTATATGTCTGCCCAAACCTAATGAACCACTTAATAGACAATTGATTGTTACCGGTTGGGGAACAACAGCTGAAGACGGAGAAGCTTCATTAGATTTGAAGGCAGTAATGGTACCATTAGTATCATCAAGGTAAATTTTCTATAATCTATATAAACAATAAAAGTATTAAATAAATTGTCACTAAAAATCATTAGTATTACTAAAAATTTTAGGCATTTTTATTTGTAAAAGTATTGAGTAATATTAATCATTTTATCTTAATAATAATATATACATGAATATAAATTACGATCTCTACATTATTTTACATTTTGTAAACTGTTATAATATAAAATATTTATTTTTGATAAATGTAAATTTTTGATTTATATTAAACATTGTTTGCTAAAATTGATTTCAAATAGAGATTGTGTGAGTGTTTATGGCAGACAGTTAGCCCCACGGGTTGAGATATGTGCCGGTAGTGAGGGTAAAGACGCCTGTCAGGTATCGGACCATTTATTTTGTGTTTAATGTAATTAAAGAGTGATATAAAAAAACATTATTTTATTAAATTATAGGGCGATTCTGGCGGACCTCTACTTCAAATGGACAGAAATGGTAGGGCTAGTCAAGTGGGAATTGTATCAGAAGGACATGGATGTGCCCGAAAAGGTTTCCCGGGAATATACACACGGGTGGAGGCATTTCTCGGTTGGATTAGAGACGCTATGCTTGTTATTTAGTTTAGTTAGTAATTAGTTTTTTTTTTGTATTAGTTGTTTTTGGTAATTATAAACAAAAATAATTATAATTATTATTTAGCATAATTACTAATTTTATTAATAATTAAAAATTCTATGTATGTATACATATTTATTTTGTTACTTAAAAAACATTAAAAATGTTGTTATTTAATATTATTGTGAATTTCTACTAAAGTTAAAAGGAAATTATTATTATTAATTTATGTAATAAATTATTATGAAAAAACATATTATTTAATATTATTCACACAACAACAATAATAATACTAATAAATTATTAATAATATATAATAGTATATGATTTCAAAACTTCATTATTAATTCAGTGATAAAAGGCTTGAGGTTGTCGTACAATAATATTAGTTAAAGTTAAGTAAAAAAAATGTTTATGAAATGCTGTATATTTTAAATGTCACTTTTAAAAGTTGCGAAATATTTCAATTTAAATTTACTTTTAAAAAATGTTATGAAAAAATAATAATAACTAATTTCTATTATAAAATATATTGTAATATATTGTAAATTAATTTAATAAATGATATATTATTCAATAATAAATGATATATTATTCAATAATAAATGATATATTATTCAATAATAAATAAATATCATTGTATATTAATAATACTGCTATTTTTAATAACAAACAAAAAACTTTTTAATAATAATAATATATAATATATTTTATTTATAATTATTACTATTATTATTACATTTAATAAAGTATATTTAATAAAATTATAATTTATATTAATAATATATTACAAAATGATTATGAATATTATACATGTAGTATTTATGGTGTAATTTACAAATAATTATAAACATTATACAAATAATAATAATAATGTTATTAATGTCATAAATGTCATCCGGGTCTATGTGTTACCCAAACATCGACACCACATGTTTGTCGACAATATCCCGAAGCCTTTCGACAGTCAAACGCGTAACAACAGTGTTGAACACAATTACGTTGTTTATCATCCGTACCCCTGGCGTCCCAACTCTCATCAAAAAACTCTTTATCGCAAACATATTGATTGCAATTCATTTGATTGGATTGTTTGCCAAACTTGTTGGGAACGACATTACATTTGCGCCGACACTGGACTAATGTTCCCCAATTGCGACAATCAAATGCCAGACAACAGTGTGCAATACAATTACATTTACCACGAGATTCGTGACAATCCTTTCCCTCATCGAAATAGTTTTCCGTACAGTTTAACTGACAATTGCTTTTTGGGATCAACTGAGTTATTAACAACAAACAGCATATGTTATAAAAAATATATTAATTATTTAGCAAAATATTACATAAATTATATATTTTTTTTAGTTTATAATAATTAAAAAGAAATAATTTAATAACTTTCAATTGCTAACAAATAAAAAAATTAATTCATAACTCTATTAAGCTTACTAATTATTTAATTAACACTATTTGTTTCAAAAAACTGTATTTATTTTTACTACAAATTAATAAAAATATTTTAATAATTAATTTTTTATTTAATTATTTTTTTTTTTAAAATGACAAATAATTTACCTGAACATCATTGACAATGCTATTTGATGGCAGTGTATGCAGTGTTGGCAATAGACAGTGTAGTAATCCGGCAAACAGTGTAAGTGTTTTCTTAATCATTGTCGTGTGTGTGCACAACACTGTTATCATCACTTGGTTTTTATTGACAAAATTTAGCCACAAGTCATATATTATTATTATATGCACACAAACACACACTTAAGTAAATAAATAAATAAAAATAAAAATAAAATATATAATTTTTTCTACTTTAATAATTATATATATATATATATGAGTAATATAACTGTATATACATTTGCAGTTTATGTAACGCTTATTTTTTTAGTCATGAACTAAATCTCATTGAGAAATTGATAAATAATAATGCGATAGATATATGAATTTTTAATATTCAATGTATTTTATATATTCAGTGAGAAAAAAATATTAATAATTATTATTATTATCTCAATTTCACATCCATTTATTTATGTTGCTTATGGCAATGGGATTTTAAAAAGTTATTTATTAAAAATTAGTTTATAATCAGTTTGTAATTTATTTTCATTTATTAAAACACTTTTTTATTAACAAAAAAATATAGTTAAATGACAAATTGAAAAGGTTTTTCACATAAATAATTGATACATTTACTGTATATTATTGAAAATTCAATTTATTAACATTATTATTATTATTATTACTGATTGCCTATAAAACTGTGAATTGAGGTAAAGGTTATCATAAAGATATATCATAATTCATATATTATTACTATTGATATCTATTTTTTTAAATATAGTAATTCAAATAGTTTTTGTTTTATAAATTACTTTTATTATTTATAATTAACTTTTTTATACTGTATATATAGTACTGTAGATAAGAAAAGTTGATAATAATTTAAGGATCATTTATATATAAAAATAATTACATTTCAAAAAAACTCTACTATTATAAATAATTATGTTAACAAATAATATAAGTTTATATTTTATAATAAGTTTACTAATAATACTATACTGATAAAAATAAAATATATTTATAATTTTTACAAATTAATTAATTTACTGATAAACAAAAAATCCTAATTTTCTCACAAAATTAACAATATAAAAAAAATAATAAAAATATATATAATAATAAACATATTTTATTCATATTTATCTAACTATTTCACAAGCAGCTGTATTAATATATTTATTTTTAACAAAATATTTATTATATAATAATTTATAATATCCTACTGTAATAATAATAATATAATAATTTAAATAATTGTGTACTAAAAATAGTTTTTAGAAAAAAATAGTAATAAATAATTACTGACGCTTTGGAGGTCAGTCACTGTTCTATGTGTTTATATAAACAGGTATTTCGTATGGAAAGTCCAGGTGTCGGGGAGTTTACATTGCAATTAAATTATTTGTCATTTTATTTTTTTAAAGTTTATTATAATAAACAATATATTTATTGAAATTATTATACAAATTGTGTGTTTTATATCATTCATTCATTTCAAATATGTGATTCACATTATGGGTTTCAAATGAATAAATTTTTCTTAAATTGCTTTTTAAATACTTTTTTTCATAAATATGATCAATATATTATATATTATAGATTATTTAATAGTTATTGTTAACTACTACTTACTAATAAAAAATAATAATATCATAATTATATTATGATTAGTTATGTAAAATTTCTCAGAAAGATTATATACAGGAATATATAAATTATAAAGTACAGTAAATTTCACTATAATTTTCTTATCTTATTTAAAATGTTTAAACTATAAACAAATTAAACTTTTTGACAAATATTTTTCAATTTACAAATTTTATTCATAAGTAAAAGTCATAAAATTTATTGATAGAAATACTAATACTAAGTTTTTAAATAAATTATTTGATTAGCTTATATAATTTTATATTAACATTAAACTATTTGATCTTTTTATTATTGTAAATGTGACAAAGCTAAACAAGTTTAATTATTTAAGCAAAAATATTTTTATAAAGTTTTAATTTGGTAATTAAATAAAATTTAAAAAATATAAGAAAATAATCTCTATGTATGTATGTATAGTTTGTAGGAATATTTTTACTTAAAATTGACTACAATTGAAATTTTATTTTGTAAGCAATTTTTTATATGACTATATGATTATAAAATTTATTACAAAAAAAAATTATTTAAATTGAATTGACAAGAAAAGACTTTAGATATTTAATTGATTTGTTTCAATGATATAAATAAGTGATCACTAAATGAGTAATTATCATATAGTTTCTTATAAACTTTCAATACAAACAAAAATCTATAGAATTAATAATATATTTTTTTTATTACCAAATAATCTACTTTTTCTAATTTTTATTGTAAAAATAAAATATTATGCTTTCATTCAAAAAAAAAATATCCCAAATAAAACAAATGATTTCAATAGATAATACATTAATTAATTATTACAAACTATTAAAAAATCAACAATAATTTTGTTATGTAATTAACGAGCAAAAAAAATATTTTAATTAAATTAAAAAAAAACACACGCGCTTAATATAAAAATTGTCGAATTAAATTAAATAACGCAAATAACAATTACTTTTTTAAATTAAAAAATTATTTGCAATTAAATACATAAAATATTGATATCATATTTCTAGATTGATTTTTTTTTGAGTTGAATGCAAATTATAATAAACATATAAATTTGTCAATAATGAAACTTTTAATTACCAATTGTGCAATTGTTACGGCATTAGTGGGATTTTTGTCTATTAATTTTATAAATATTAGTAATCCATTTGTTAGCCGACAACGACTGAACTATTTTAAGCACCGGACCGGCAATTATACTGTTGAGAGACGTACTGAAACACTTGGTCTCAAATATTATGTAACACAAGAGTTTGGCCTACAATATGACGAACAGATAGTAAATATTGAGTCGGAAATTGAGATCCAATTTGTTGATAAACTTTATGGCAAATGTTTGGTTGAATTGAAGGGCAAAAGACAGTTACTTTTGGGTGCCGTTAGCTTTGGTGACAAACAGTTCATACAAATGACACGTCGCTTACGGCTAACGTCTTGTCCAGAGTTCGGACAAAAATCTATCGTTAAGTCTATACTTTAGATAACTACAGTATATCTAAAGATAATGATTTAGTTTTTATTTGTAATTATTATTATTTGTAACATTTATTGCCATATATTTCTATAAATAATAATTATTTTATTTTTCTAATATAATGTATTAATTATGATAATATATGTTTTAGTTATTTATTAATTAGCGATAATTATCTAAATCAAATGTTAATATATTTAGTTAAAAGTTAGATATTTTATACATTTAGTACATTAAGTAAAAAATAATTGTTATTTATTATACTATAATATTTAGAGGATATTTTACATCCTTTGAACACTTTTAAAATATAATATCTGTTTTTTATTTATTTATAATGTTTTTATAATATAAAAAATTCTGGTATTGATAATTTGTATAACATTTTTATATAAGTAGTAAAACGATTAATTCAAGTGTTCAATCAATATTAAATTATAAACTTTCAAAAGGGATATGTTGGGTATATACCGATATAGATTTGATTGAAAATCTATGGTGACACGGATGTCATCTTTTTTGGAGGTATTTCCCACACAATATTTTAATGATATTTCACTGACTCAATGGTCAGACAACACACCCAACCGTCTGATGAACCAAAACATCGTCACTGGAGAAGAGTTTATTACGTCTATCGAAAGGTTTAAAGCATTTATTAAACCGCTATAAAAATCATTAACTTATTTATAAACTATACTTTAATATATTTAAAATTAAGAGTATGTTATTATAAATTTATGTAAAGTTTTATATACATATGTTTCATCATATCATATGTTTATATTAAATTATTATGTATTTTTAAAAATATTTATTTGAAATGTTTAGCTATAAACAATACTCATAATTAAACGTATTAACTAATTTTAAAATCAATTTTATATTTATTAAAATAATAATAATGCAAAATCGTTGTTAATTTTTTTATTTTATGTTATTAAAAAAGTTATTTTTACGCATTTATTATACTGTTAGTGTTTTATATTTTATAACAATATTTAATAAAATAACAAAATTTAGAAATATTATGATTGATAAATTGATAGATATAATAATTAAATTAAAAACATTTTATTTATAGATTACTATGAGTTGTGTTAAAACAGTATTAAATAATGTACTGTAGCTTTTAATATCTAATTATTAATTTTATTTGTAAACTTAATGTATAGTTTAATAATATTAAATTTTAATATTGTTTATTACATTATTATTAGTTTATATTTATACTATCGGTATACCATTCAATAAAAATATTATAACACTATTGCTTTATTGTTAGTTATAAATTTATACTTTTTATTCAATACATTAGCACACAATACACAATAACAACACTTATTATTATAATAGTATTGTAAATAATTTGTTAATAAAAAATGTTTTTATTAATTTAAATATTAAATTATTAAATATTTATAAATAAATAATTATTATATTAGTTATGCATTGGATATCCTTTTGTTTTGTAACATCCGATGAACCATATCTTGTCTTTCCTTTAATGATGACATTCCCTTATGATTTATATTAGTTTCACTGTTAGCTGCCAGTGCTGGAGTTGGTGGTGTACTTTCATCTGTATAGTCTTCTAGAGGCTCCGGGAGGGGTGACCTAACATTTTTAGCCGATTTTAATAGACGATTGTTGTTCTTTAATTGCGAAGAAGATAATGGAAGAAACGCTGAAGCATTCGAATTCATCGGTGGAGGAGGCGGTGGTGGTGGAGGTGGAGGCGGAGGCGGTGGAGCCGAAACTGATGGTGAAGGTGGCGGTGACGGCATTGGTGATACAGCAGTCGAATTAAGAGAGATAAGAGCTTTCATTGAAGTAACAGATGATAAACTTGAAGGAGGGGTCGGTGTGGGTGGCCTAACAAGTGGTATCGATGAAACCCTATTTGGAGGTATCGGTGCCCTGTTTGGAGTGGATGAACGATTGTCTGATTGCGGTGTTTGCGGTAATTTTGTTGAGTGGACAAAGCTTTTGTTTCGTACCAATGATATGGGAGTGGATACCGGACTTATAGTTCCCATCAGTCTTGGAGAAGGCGGTGAATATTTTGGTGAATCGTCGTCACTGGAAGAAGAGGGCAATGGAGAAGTCGAAGTGGACGGTAAGTCAAATAAAAAGTCGATATTAGGTGCCGAAGATTTGCGACGTAACATATGGGGAGTGCCCTCCATATTAATAGCCGATGAAGACTGCGATTGATAGGACTCTTTGGACAATCGGTTTTCAGTAAAACGGAAAACTTTATTACCATTCTTTGAGTTGGATCTTATTTTTGGTGATTTATCATAACTATTAGGTTTGTTGTTTAAATCGATGCTATTATTATTATTGTTATTATTTATATCTTCTATAAATGTGTTTCTTTTTGGATCTATTTCTGTGAAAACAGGTGTCAATTGTATCGGACTGTTCTTGAATGGGACGTCTGTATTAGTATCGATGCAAAAAAAATTATTTATAAAATGTGTTATAAAGAGGTGTTATAAAAACAATAAAAAGTTTTTTTTAAAAAAAACATTTAATTCATATCACGTTTTGATTAAATAACATATATTTAATTTTTAGTCAACATTTATCTTAAAATAACAAATTTTATTTTATTTATTTAAGTTTATTATCACAATTTTTGTTAGTAACACATATTTTTTTCTAACAAACATATAATAATTTTTTTTTAAAAACATAGTTTGTTATTTGTTAAAATTTCGACATTGTAAAACATAAAACATAACCGAGTATTGAAATTATCAAATAACAACATTGAAAACAAAATTATAAATAAATGTTTTAAAAATGTTAATAATAATTAAAGTTAAACAACAAAATGTCAAAACAATTATCTGAATCACAGATTCAAATGTTTAGTTTTTTCAGCAAAACTATCAAAGTCTATGATATGTAGTCTTTAAGTTTTCATTACTAATATGATAGATATTATTATTATTATTATTATTACCATTATAGACATCATCGTTGACATCGATATCAACTTCTTGTAGACAAACAACGGCGTCGTGTACTGACTTATACAAGTGATCAGTGGACACGTGCTCGAAGAAGCCCTCTTTGGCGAACATACTTTCGAGGTGCACGTGCACACCGGACAGGGCTGCCTGTATACCGATCTCCTCAAACGATATCATTAGTTTTCTCAATGTATTAATACCGGTTAAGTCGATGAATGCAAACATTGAACAATCAATAATCAAATACTTGGGCAGATTAGGCATATCCAGTGCCTGTCTTATTAGCTGTACTTTAGAAAGTGAATCAAAATGTTTGGTCTGTATTTTGACTAAATTTTCTTTATATTCATTGGTTTTCATGTATTTTTGAATTGCACTGTAATTATAAAAAAATACAGTATATACACAAATAAAAAAAATAAATCAATATATTTATCTAATTATTATAAAATTTAATTGAATTAGATATGAAACAAACAAACAAAAAACTTACGTTAAATTCAATTGACATTTGTTTTCCAATTCAGAGCTAAAAAACTCGACGTTTGAGAAGTTCAATGGACCGCACATTTGAAATATTTTGAAACCAATGGGTTCTTCAACATTATTGAACTTATTGATCGGTACATAGATGTCCATATGTGGCATTGTACCCAACAGGTAGATCTTTGGTCGTTCAGATTTATATATGAGAAGCAATAGTGAACATACCAGTCCTATGTATATACCGTAATCGACACATAATATGAGTACACAAGCAAATGTGATCAACCATATCATCTAATATTTTTAATATAATAAATCATAAATCATGAAATATAATTAAAATTGTTATTATTATTATTATAACATACCCCATCCAGTTTCGATACTTTCCAAAAGCGCCAAAATTCACCAATTTTTGTAATTAACGATACAAGTGCTATAGCAATACATGAGCCCAATACACACTAAATATATATTAAATAAAAAAAACAATTTGCTATAAATAAAATAAAAATAATATTACAAAAACTTAATAAAATAACACCAACTAACTGTAGGCAATTCCGTTAAATAGCGTCCCAGTGCTAGTATGACGACAACAATACAGCAACAGTTGACAATACTGACCACTTGTGTCTTACCGCCGGCAGTGTCCTGGAGTGCACTTCGGGGTAATGATGCGGCCGATGGTATACATTGAAAGCAACAGGAAATCATGTTTGTGGCGCCCATTGCTATCATTTCCTGATTGGCATCAATTTTATAGCCGTGTTTTTTGGCATACATTTTGCCAACCGATAGTGTAATAGTGTAGCCAACTATTGCAGTGGCAATACATTTGGACCACATTATGGGAAACAATTCCCACCGGGGAAGTAGTGGAGATGGAAATCTACATATAATAATAAATTACTAGTAATTAAACACATTATATATATATATATATTAATCTATAATAATAATAATAATAATAATAATAATAAATTTAATTATTATATTAACTTATTGCCAATATCGCCGACAATTTTTACATTATATTTGCCACTAAGATCCATAAAGTGCGAGATAATGGTACCACCGATGACTACACATAGTTCTATAGGAAACGGTGTTTTTATACGAGTTTTAGCTGTATATCGGTTGACCACTAGTTTGAAAAACAATAGTATAATCAAAGTTATGATTGTTATGATTAATGTCGTCAGATTCACTTCATTCAAACGGGTAAACACTTCTTTGAGTGTATAAATCAAATTAAACGGTCCGCTAAAGTGATTGTAGTTAACACCCAACAGATAAGGCAATTGTGACATAAAGACTATAACCGATGCAGAAGTGGTAAAACCACTAATCAATTCTTCAGACATAAAGTTACTGACAAAACCCATTTGAAATATACCGAAGGCCAGTATGAAAATGCCGATAATAAAGCCAACCATAATTGCTATATCTATAGTCACCAAATCGGCCCATTTGGGATCAACTCCAGGTGTTAGATCTTCTAACTCTCCTTTTACTACATTGACAGCATTGATATTTTCAACGCCCAATTCGTGCATTACTTGTAGTACTATATCGCCAGTCAATACACCGGAGACGATAGCAAACGGACCGAAAGCACTGTGATATCCCGTACCGAAAATAGTGTAGAATAATGCCGGAAAAAATGCCGAATACAGGCCATAGACTGGCGGTACGTGTGCTATCAAACAGTAACCCATACCTAACGTACATATTATTAAGAAATGTCAATTATATCATAGTTATGAAAATAAATCATTAATCTAATTACTGGTATGAATATAAATTATCCATAAATTAAATTATTATATCATTATTATTAATTATAATAATAAAGTTTTATTTAATAAATTAAGATAAATTTTGTTTAACAAAAAATAAAATAAACATTAATATATATTTTTAATTGAACACAAAATTAGATTTAGTCTTAAATAAGATAAATAAAAATGTTTTCAATATTACTATTTAATTAACACTTACTTTGTGGGACTTGAAATATAGCAATAGTGATGCCGACAATGATATCAGTTAATAGGTTTTCTCGCCAATTATACTCCGGAAGCCATAGAGTTATGGGAAACAGTCCTCTCAGACGTCTGATCCATGCATTGCGAGAGACGTCGGGCTTAAACTTCTGGAGCTTTTCCTCACGCGATGTAGGAATCGGTACAAAACTGTCGTTAAATTGTTTGACATTATATGCTAAACGCGTTACACTGAGCGATGGTGACGATGGTACTAATCCGGTTGCCTCCTGTTTGCGGAGTCGGGCCACTTGTGGTAATATTGCAGTATTGCTGTGCGCACCGGTAGCTGCCAGTCTTGTGCGTTTGCCGTTAGGAATATCACTCGACATTATCCGATTTGTTAGTATAAAAACTTTTAATAGAAAGTATTTTTTATAAAGTGTTTTAATAAGTCAACATTTAACAAATTGAGTAATTTTTAATTAATTTAATATACAGCAAGCATTTTTTTATTATTTAACTTATTTTTTTTAATAATGTATTATTAAAATATACAATTTTTACAATAATTAACAACACATTTTCATGAATTGAAGAAATTTTGACAGAATTTTTTTTATATTTTGCTAATGATTTTGTATTTTTATGTTTATTATTTTATTTTCAAACATTCAAACTATTAGACACTATTTAATCAGTGTATATATATATTAAATAATGATTATTAAAATATCACGAATAAATTATTTTATAATAATACTGAATCACCAACAATTAGGATACCTATAAAATATTATATTAATTTTATTCAATTTTAATACTATTCTTTAATTACTTAATTCATTTATAAATGTAACTGTATTTTAAGGGGTGTTTTAAACTATTAATTTATTACACGAAAAAATTTTTGATTAAATTTTTATATTTATTACAATAATAATAATAATATTAAATCAAAAAACAAACATTAAAATAGACACAGTTACAAATATAATAAGATAAATTTCTATAGATAAGTTAATTATTTTATTTACTTTTACCTAACAAAGTCAAAAAATAATAATTTATTATTATGACCATAAAATTTTAGTTTATTGTATTTTTTATAATTTATTTAAACAAAATAAAGATTTTTATTAAAGATTATTAATTAAAATTATTTAAAATTCGATAAATAGTTTAAATTTATTTTTAATTAATTATTGATATTATTATATTTTTCACTTTAGTATTAATGAATTAATTTGAAAATTTATTTATTTTTATTAATACTTAAATAGTTTTCCAAAAGTGAAAGTAATAGTTTTTGAGAATATTAATGGTTAATAAATTGTCAGTTAATAAATAAAAATTATGATGTTTTAAGTAATATATTGACTATTATATAATAATTTTTATTGAATTTTTATATATAATATTTTTTTGTGGAAATATATTGTTTAGTTAATTAGCAATTCGTGTTTTTCTAAATAATCTATTTGTAATAATTAGTGTTAAGTATGAATTAACAGTTTTTTTTAATAATAATATCAATAACTCAAATATTGAATATAATGTCACACATAATCTAAATCAGCAAATAATAAGCAATAGATAATCAATAATTTTTTGTGTATATCTTTATCCTCCAATCTATTATAATTTATATTTTTATTCTGCTATTTAAATTATAGTATAATTATATGAAATTATCAATTTTTGTTGAAAATAAATATCTATAGCATAAATGGCAATATTAGAGGTAATACTATCAATAAAAATTTATTGATTATTCATTGGTCTATATCCTGAAAACTAAACTATATGACATTTATTTTATTTATTTTAAACAATACATAATTAATATGTATGAAAATACAGTATTATTCACATTAATTTTGCAACAAATTTTATACTACTTTAGAAATACATTTTTATTATATAATTATAATAACATTGCTATAAAAATCCAGGACATAAAATAATCATTTAGATCACTGCTTTAAATCTTAGTTTATCATTCAATTGCCTGTAATTTATGATTGATAAATGTAATTAATATGATTCATAATTTTTCAATTATGATAACACTAATTTAAAAACACTGCAGTTTTTTTAATGATGTTTTGTCATAAATATAATTTTTATTAAATAATTTACATATAATTAAATCATAGAAAATATAATAAATAAATACTTACAATTTTTTTATTTAATAAGTTACAAAATTATAATCCAAATCATAATATTAATGAACTTATACACATTTGACACATAAATAATATAAAATGTTAAAAATTAATTCAAAATTATCAATAAAATTTTAATTAATTATATATAAACATTTGGTATATAGCAATGTGCACATGTTTTGTATAACTAAAACAAATATATAAAAACATAAGTTAATAATAATCTTTAAATAGTTATTAATTATTTTTTTTGTACAACAAATAAAAGTAAATTTAAACTAAATATCACTATTTTTATAATAACTTTAATTTTATTATTATTTTTAATTATAAAACCGACAATTATTATACTGAAAGTTGTTAGTTGTGATGAAACATATAAATATAAAAATAATTATCATAATATTTATGATGTTTTATCAAAGTTATATATAATATATATAAATATAATACAATTTATTATGGTATTGTATCATATATTACTACAATATTTTATAAATATTTTATCTAACAATATGTTGTACTGTACTTTACAATACTGTTTACTATATTACTTTATAAATAGTTTAGATGAAAATTAAAATGTGTAATACAGATAGTTTATTAATAGTATTATCAGATATATAGACTAAAATTTCTCATAATTAAATATGACATTTTATTAAATTTATTGATCTTATATTGAAATTATTGATATATTGATATATTTATGACTATATTTTTTAACTTATAATTTTATTCTATTAATTTAACTTATTATTGCTGTATTAAGTATTAAAATTATAATAAAATTATTTTCAACTATATTATGTTGAACTAATATTATGAATTGTATTTAAAAAATATCTATTTTAGATTATAACATTTAGAAACAACATTACTTACAAGTTAGCATTATAATAAATGCAATTATACTGTATATAATATATATTATTTGTTTTTTTTAATTGTTATGCAAAAAAATGATTAAGTTTTTTAAACATCTGATGTTAACTTATAATAAAAACGTTTTTTTATAATGATAAAATCATATACAAATGATTAACTTTATATTTATGATTTTTAAAAAATTAGTAGTACAATTTATGAAAAGGACCATGATAAAAGTAAATCAAATATATAGACTAGTATAAATTAAATATTTTTTTGTCTTTGTCATAGTTTAATATTTTGTCAGATTTATTGAAAAATATTATTAGATATTAATTAACGTATTTTTATAAAATTTTTAAACTAAAATATAAATTATTACTATGAATAATTATTTTATTTATTATAATTTTAAACATCAATAATTTTTATAAATTTTATCAAAAAAAGTTATCATAATACCACTTATAATTAATTATATAACATATACATTATGAATAGTTTTGAAATACAATGCATTCAGATATGATTTAGACAATACATTGTATTGATACAATAAATTTACATTTATTATATTATATAACCTTAAGTCGGATGAACTAATAAGTAAAAAATCAGTCATTTTAATATTTAAATAATGTTAACAGATTTCAGCTAATAAACAGTAAATACAGCTAATAAAACAATAGATACTAAGTGTTTTTAATTGTATTAATCATTTATTATAATTATAGAATTATTAAAATAAAAAACTTTAATGTTGCTGTAATTGCTATTATTAATATTAAATATTGAAAAATTAAATTAATTATTAAATTAAAGCTATAATTATTTTAAAATTTTGTAATTACTTTAATTAGATAATTAATTATTAATCAAGATTATGTTTAATCCAATGATAATAGCTTGATATACGGGTATATATTTCGGGATAAGTATATATTGCACTCCATTTACTTGTCCACGAATAGATGCCCAGAGCTATTGATGGGGTCGATGGGTCACTCGATAGTATGCCTCCCTCATCATACTAATGTATTTAAAAAAAATTATAGAAAAAACAATATGTTAGTATATATTTATCAAAAATAAATAAATAAATATATCTAACTGTTTCCCTTACAGTACTGGGATAAAGTTTGCCATCGGCAACACCGGCACACAATTGTGAATCATCGACTTGAGTGGAACCGTATGTTTTTTGACATTTATTGTGTCCAACAATCTCAAGGGTCACTTTTTGCAACGACGATGATGTACTATGAAATAGACTACCAGTGTTACCCCAACCGGCCATATAAACGGGTAGATTACTGATTAAGCCGAGTCGTCGGGAGGCTATACTTATGGTAATGGGAGCAACTGTTTTGTAATCAAATGAATGAATCGGATTGGACAGTTTGATAATGGCAATGTCGTTAATATAGGATGATTTATCGTAAAGTGGATGTATAATAGTACGGCCAACAGTAAATACAGTACCACCCGAATCATATTTCAATGATCCAACCCGTACTCTCAAATCTAAAGCATCGTATCTATTGATAAAATTTGATACTGAATTTTGTTGTTGTATTTACATATTGTTGTTATATAACTATTATAACTATTTATTGAAATACTTTTGTATGCATTTGGCTGAAGTCAGTATAGATTTTTGATCAATAATACCGCCGCCACAGATAAGATCGCCTTTATTGTCCAAAATAGCGGCCATCCAAGTGAACTCTCCCGGTTGGGCATCAGTACCGCGTACTATATAGGACAGTGGGGTTACAGTGACATAAATACCATCAATAAATAAAAGCAATAATACAGTTAAGACAATCATTTATATTTGTAAAAATTATCAAATACTAGTGTATTAATTATGATAATAATTATAATAAAAGTATTGTATTAGTGTTTATAATTTATATGTATTTATACTATAATATATTACATGTATATTTAAACACGTAAGCGGACAAAAATTACTAAATTATTGAAATTTTAAATGTCATGTTTGCAAATGAAATTATTGAAATTTTTTTAAACGACTAAAATTATTGCATAAAATATCGCAATTAAATTATTTGATTTTATTAAAAGATTTTTGAAAGTATTAATACTATATAAATATTAAAGTTTTTAATATAAACTAATATATTAGAAATACTGTACTTTGTTTATATAATTATTTTTAATTAAATTAAATTAAATTTGATTATTATCTATTCCCTATAATGTCAATAACTTGTTTTACTAATTTAGACTAAAATATCAAAATTATGTCATCTTTTAAAAATACATTAATATCTGCACAATTTATAGCAATGAAAATTATAAAGTATAAAATAAATTTTTTAAATATAAATATTAGATATTAAAAAAAATATTAAACTAAAATAATAGATTAAAAAACTATTAAATTATTTATATAATAATTATTAAACAATTTATTATTGTATTGTATTGTATAATAATAACAAAAAATAACTTAAAAGACGTTATTAATTGATTTAAAAGCATAGATTCATTGCATTGATAGTAATGTTGTGTTGAAAATCAATGTTTATTTACAACTATTAATAAATAATATAATTAAATGTTTTTTTTTCAATGTATTAATCGAGTAATTGATTTGCAATTTATGTTTTCATTTGTTTTTCATTGATTATTGACAACACATGACTAAAGAAATGAAATCAAATGATACAAATGTTACCATTGATGTCAATGATGTATTGGATCAGCTAATGATTGATAATAAAACACTTGTCAAACAAATTAAATTATATGAAAAAGTGGTCAATATTTTTATGGATAATCTGAAGACTTGTTGTGAATGTCAACATAGAAATCAATTGAGAGATAGTTTAGCACAATATGAGACCAGTTTGAAGACATTTACATATAATAATCCATTAAAATCAGTGGTCAGTGATTGTGATTACGATTGCGATAACATTTTGACAACTCTTTGGACGACATCATCCAAGACAGTCGTTACCATTGATGATGAAGAAGAAGAAGTGGTGATTAATAATAATAATAATATTAATAGTAATTCACAACAAGATATGAACCAAAGTCATGACAAACCATACACTAAGACATATGTAAAGCAAAGACGACTACTTAGAGGTAGTAATTATGACTTGATTTTTAAATATATGATTTAATAGTAAAATGTCATGTATTTTGTTGTTGTTTGCATCAGAAACTTCACGCACCGCTGATGTCGGCTTCAAATGTGTTTCATGTGATTATACTAATACAAAGTTTGCACACTTTGAGGCACACGTCAATCGATATCATCTCCGTATTAAACCGTTTAGGTGTCACCCGTGCGACCAGTTTTTCACGGACTTGGATGCACTGTTCAAACACAAGAAAGGCCTAAAACATATCCAGACAATCAATGGTATCAGCAATTGTACGGATCAAGTCAGTCATGAACAACAGCCGTCCACTACTCTATCTAATAGACGTAAAGTTATAGTAATTTTTAAAAATAAAATTAAAACTTAGAATATTGTAAAAGTTTTTTAAATATAATTAATAAAGAAATTGATCCCTTCGTCGTTTAGTTGAGAAACTAATGGATAAAATTCATCATCAAAATGGTGTCAAACAATCTATGGATTGGCGACCGCAACAGTTTGATGTACCCGAGCGGCCATACAATTGTGACAAATGCGGGAAATCATATGCACACAAACAGACACTTTGCAGACACAAACGTGTCGTCCATCGATCAACCAGAAGATGTCCCCGTTATGTCAATAATTATAGTAAAGAAAGTCGACATAAGAATCAAGAAGTGACAGTTGATAATGATATACAAAATGTAGGGACGAGTGCTGATGATCTACCAGTGCCTAAAATACCGGATAATGTATCCTTTAAATTGGATAATGTGTTACACAAACGTTCATCAAAGAGATCGGTTACCAAAAAACAACGTTATTATTATTATTGCGATTTCGATGGATGTCATTATAGGACTCATATTAAACAAGTTCTCGATAGTATGTAAAATATATATTTTTTTGTAATTACGGTAATAATTATTAATGAAATTTCATTGTTTATTATATTTTCTTTTGTATATACTAACTATAGCTCATAAAAATAGACATTTAGGTATTAAAAATTTTCAATGTCTTTGGCCGGGATGTCAGTTTAGGTCTGTCGACAAACAGGGTGTTGACAAACATCATGTCGTACACCGCAACCCACCCGACAATGAGTCTCAATCAGATACCAGATGTAAACTCATCACACAATCAGGTATTTTATGAGTTTATGATTTTGGTTTTGGTTTTGAGATTTTATGAAGTGTTACGATTGCAGACATATTTTAATTATTAGTTTTAAATGTATAATAATATTATATTTCACTTATAATTTAGTTGATGTATTAGAAAAACTCCTAAACAGTCATCACTACAAACGCGACGAACCGGAAGACAACTCAATCATAAATTTTGAAAATATTGAAATAAAAACAGAGAATATGGACATAGATTTGATTAAAAATGACGAATTTATTTAAATTAATTTTTATTTACTTTTTTGCTTATATTAGACTCTACTGTAAATGACAAATAATTTATTATGATATTACCGGTAATTTTTATTTATGTAAAATCATGATTAAAGCCTGATTTGTGAAATAGTTTATTTTTATTTGATCTTATACTTGCAATTAAAATTTATTATCTAAATTTGAAATAAAATGATTGAAAAATTAATAGAAATTAATACTCACTCAAAAATGTCTATTTATTTATTTTTATTAAATAGAAATTTTACAAAATAATTGGTAAATAGGTTTGTAGATTTTTAACGATACATATTACCGGTAATATTATTTAAAATTAGGGATCGTATAATCATTATTGTATTAATATATATATATATTATTCAATTAAAATTTTATCATTTATAAATTTTTAATAACATTTATTTTTATTAAAAAAAAGTTAATTTTTTATTTGTGAATTTTATTATATATAAAATTATAATAAATATTTAAAAAACTATTATTAGTTAAATATTTATATTATTAAATTAGACTTGAATATTGATTATTTTTGTACATAAAATGTTGAAAATATTTATATAAACACAACTTGAAGTAAAATATTCAATTTTAGTATAATTATATTTAAAACAAAATATATTATAATACTTAACAAAATTTACATTTGATTTTCTTTTTACTAATGATTTATTATGATTCAAATATTTTTACAAAAATAGTCATTAACTTTACTAAAAACACGTAAATTTATAATTATAATATATTTATATATTTATAAAGTTTGTGTAATAATCATTAATAAATTACACATACATTATTAATTAAGTAATTTATTTTATTATTTTCTATGTTTAGTGTATTTAATAATATAAGATTTTTTTAAAAACAACAGATTAATCAAATATTGGTATTTTTTCTAATATTAATTTTCTATACTATAATAAATAATTTAATTTAATAATATATATATAATTTTTGCTAATAATAACTTTAAAAAAATTTTGGTATACTATTTATTAAAAAATTAATAATTTAATAATTTTTTTAAATATATAAATATAATTTTGATACAAAATTCAATAAATTGGATCAATTGTTTCAAATGACAACATTTAAGAAAATGTATGAAGAGTTGAGTCTATCCATTGAAATCCTCGAAACTCTTTGTTATCGATATTTCATAATTATATCAAAAGACACTGAAAGTTATGTATTGAAACAAAATAGTAAAAAAAGATTTATATTAGTAATCATATCACAAATTGTAATATTAGTAAACAGTTTACGATTTTTAACAACAAGTTTGTTTAATCAGGTAATACAATGTTTTTAAATAATTAATTTTATAATCACAGGATTTAAAAAAATAATTTATTATTTAATGTTTTTATTAAATACTATAATAGATTTATATTTAATTATATTTTATTAGGTAAAAAATTTATTAGTTTAGCTTATTTTATAATTTTATACATTAAAAATTACTTTTATTACAATACTTTTCAATTTTGTTTAAAAAGACATTTATGCTAACATTTTAATATCGATAATTATAAATTGTAATCTATAATAGTAGTGGGTGGGTATAGAAAATAGAAAGTGATCAAATAACTTTAGTTTAAGTCGGGATGTATAAGTAAAACATTAATCTTATGCAATATGTTTTGATTTGATAATACTTTGAGTATTATAAAATGGTTATATTATAGTATATATATTATTTAACATTAAATAATTTTCAAAAAATACCGTAGTCTACAATCTAAAAGTTTATAATGTTGACAATTATTACAATTACAATTGATTAACTGATTGACATTTAATATTTTATAATAAATTTATCATTAATTGTTTTTTCCTGAAGTTATGGGTTTGTGACCTATTGGGTAATCCAACCCATATATTAGGCAATTCAAGACTGGCTTCAATGTCATTAACTAATTTTAATTTTGCCGTATTTTGTATCGGATGTGTTACTAACTATCAGGAATATACTCACACGTTATATACGTTAATCTATTTAAATCAATTAAAACATCAAAAATTTGGATTGAAATTAAAAAAAGAATCGCTAGAAAAGTATGTCTTTAAACTGAATATTGTGACCAAATTGTTGTCACCACTAATTTATTTGACATCATTGACATCCATTTCCCTCTATTTATATGCCTATTGTATGGCTTTATTAACAGATTTTGATACCACATCATTTTGGTGGATCTTTAAAGTAATAATATCCGAACTTTTAATGAGTATTAGTATATTTAAAATATTTGGTACTGTTTTTGTTGGATTTGGGATATGGTTTAGTTTTTCATATATTTTTAAATTAAAATTTCAAGAATTGTATAATGAAATCAAATATAATACTAAACATTCAAACAAATGGCAAATTATTTATCCAAAACCTTTATTGTCGTCAATTACTTTACACAATAAAAGTATAAAAATAGTAAAAAATGTAAATCATTTACTTCGATGTATAATATTTATAATCTATTATATTGTAACTCCCGGTGTATTGATAGTAATTTACGCTACATTTCGTTCAGATTCTACATTATTTGCTAAAATATTTTGTATATTTTTAATAATATTTGCCATGTCTATTATTCAAATGTTTAATATAATGAGCACTTGGGTCAGTAAATCAGCACATTTACCATTAAAACTAATGCACAGCTATTTAGCAAAACATCCGACAATATCATTGAAAATGCGCCTAAAATTGATTATATTTATGGAGCGACTGTCGGGTCCGACAATTGGTTTCTATTGTTATAATTTATTTCCAATGAATTCAATTCATTATTATGAATATATTTATATATGCAGTCTATGTATGTGTAGTTTAATGTCATTGATTTAATGTTATTATAATCTCATTAATTATTTTATATATTAAATTTATTCTTTAGTTATTATGCTCTCTTGTTGTATATTTATTTGTATATTTTTAGAAATATTAATGTTTAAATATTCATTTTATTATAATTATTAATTAATGCTAAATAATTAATTATTTTTTTGCAAATTATTTTAGTTTATTAAATCATTTACTATTTTTGCACATAATTTTGGGGTCCGACAATTGGTTTTTATTGTTATAATTTATTTTCATCGGAGTCTATGTTTGATTATATATGTTAATATCATACAGTATATACAATATAAATTATTTATGTTTTGCAATAATTAGTATAAACTTTATTCTATAAAGCTTTATATGATTTTTCAAACCGTATAATCATTAGTTAAAGGGTCTATTAATATATATTTTATTCAATTAAAATTCATCAGTTATAAATATTTAATAACATTTATTTTTAGTAAAAAAATTATTTTTTATTTATTTATTTTATTATATATAAAAATTATAATAAATATTTTTAAAAAAATTATTAGTTAAATATTTATATTATTAAATTAGACTTGAATATTGATTATTTCTGTACATATAATTTTGAAAATATTTATATAAACACAACTTGAAATAAAATATTCAATTTTAGTATAATTATATTTAAAACAAAATATATTATAATACTTAAAACATAATTTATATTTGATTTTTTACAAATGATTTATTATGATTCAAATCTTTTTACAAAAATAGTCATTAACTTTACTAAAAACACGTAAATTTATAATTATAATATATTTATATATTTATAAAGTTTGTGTTATATTCATTAATAAATTATAAATATTAATTAAGTAATTTATATTATAAATTTTTTTCTCTATATTAACTGTATTTAATAATTTATGATTTTTTTTAAATGACAACTTAGATTGATCAAATATTGTTATGTTTTCTAATATTAATTTTCTATACTAAATAATATAATTTAATAATATATACAATTTTTGCTAATAATAACTTTAAAAAGTTAATATTCACTATTAATGTTTATTAAATCTAATTAAATTATAATACTAAATAATCTACAAGTTATGTACTGTATATGCAAATGTATTACTTTAATATGTAATTTATTACAAATAGTTATTAATTTATTAATGTTCCTAATATAATTAGACATTAATATAACAAATTTAAAAGTATTTTTAGTATACTGTATATTAAAAAATTAACAATTTAATAATTTTTTTAATATATAATTATAATTTTGATACAAAATTCAATAAATTGGATCAATTGTTTCAAATGACAACATTTGAGAAAATGTATGAAGAGTTGAGTCTATCCATTGAAATCATCGAAACTCTTTGTTATCGATATTTCGTAATTATATCAAAAGACACTGAAAGTTATGTATTGAAACAAAATAGTAAAAAAAGATTGATATTAGTAATCATATCACAAATTGTAATATTAGTAAACAGTTTACGATTTTTAACAACAAGTTTGTTTAATCAGGTAATACAATGTTTTTAAATAATTAATTTTATAATCACAGGATTTTAAAAAATAATTTATTATTTAATGTTTTTTATTAAAAACTATAATAGATTTATATTTAATTATATTTTATTAGGTAAAAAATTTATTAGTTTAGCTTATTTTGTAATCTTATACATTAAAAATTACTTTTATTACAAAACTTTTCAATTTTGTTTAGAAAGACATTTATGCTAACATTTTAATATTGATATTTATAAATTGTAATCTATAATATACATTAAATTGTATTTATTTTCATATTTCAATGTTGAAAACAATTTAAATATTTTTAAATATATATATATATATAGTGGTATAGTTTTTATTTTTCTTATTTTTTAAATTCATGATAAACATGCAATTCTATTTATTTTGAAATGTTTCCAATACTAATAACAAAGTATTATTTATAAAAGTAGTTTTTAATAAATGAATTTTTAATAAATCAAATGTAATTCTATTTATAATATTCTTAGATATTATTTTTAAGTTTAAATTTAAAATAAAATTATTACCAAAGTATTCATTACTGATAATCAATATTTATACTATGCTATGACTTATAACTAATATATCAATATTTATATGATTACATATGATACAATTAGTTTATATGAGTCGTATTATATTTACATTTACCATATATTTACATTTTAAAAATTATTTAATGCA